CCCCGTCCTCCCTGGAACACCGCCTCCCGCCTCCGTCCACACTCCTAGCACCGCCGCCGCCGCCGAAAACCTCTTTCGCGTCACCCGGCGTCGCGCCCCCCCCCCCGCTATTTATCCACGGAGCCCCCGGGGTCGGCGGTCCGGAGCCGCCACCGCCGTTGCCGAGGGAGTTGTACAGGGGGCGGAGGCGGAGGCGTCCGCGGCGGCGTCGGTCGTCGTCGTCGCTGCCGCTGGCCCGTGCTTCTGCCGGCGGCGGCGGCGGTGGCGGCGGCGGCGCTAGTGGTGGGGAAGAGGCGGAGGAGGAGGTGGGCGGTGTCATCAACCTGGTGTCGTGTCAGGGGGTGGTGCAGGCGGAGGTGAGCAGGCTGGAGGGGGAGCTGGAGAGGCAGAGGGCCAGGCTCGCCAGGCGAAACCGTCGGTGAGCAGACACTGTAACAACAATACTGGCGTGCGGTGGTGCTGCTGCTGCTGTTGGCGGGGTGGAGTTGTTTGTTTGTTTTTCGTTTTTTGGGGTAGTTGCTTGACTTGTGACCACGGAAGGCGTCCGCGTCAGTTGGACTATTATACACTGTACTGCTATTCTGCTATACTGCTATACTGCTATACTGCTATAGTGCTATAGTGCTAGTGCTGTAGTGCTATAGTGCTATAGTGCAGATAGGGCTATAGTGCAGATATTCGAAGGTAGTATCAGAAGGTATTTTAGTAAGCGGAGTCAGGAACGAGAATTTCAATGTGAAGACGACGTTAGCAGTATGGGTTTGTCATAGAGTTATGGAAGTCCTGGGCCCTGTTGTGCACCAACGCAATGATATAGCGGTTGGTTTAGTGGGACGTTATGTAAGGAGGCGTGCGTGATGTGTCTGTCGGTGCTGAAGTAAACATGGCGGCGTGGATGTAAAAGACCGCGACGTCGAGAGGTGGGGGTCGAGAGGTGGGGGTTTGCCGGTATGAAATTTCTCAAGTTCAGCTGAAAGGTGTGGGGCGGACAAGTGTCTTGTATGGGTGCCGGCTCACCGGGCGTGCTGGATGCGAGGGGGGTGTTCGGGTCTGGGGGTAGGCGTTAGCGTGCACAATGTCGTGATAGGAAACCATCTTGATGCGAACGATCGCAGCAGCGCGGATGCATACGTGTAGATGCAAGCTCGCAATCCTACCCACCACCACCACCCCGCAAGCTCGCTTCTGCAAATCTACCTTAATACCTTAAGGTGCCGTTCATCTCTGACGCTTGCCCGGGGCTTGACTGCCTTTGTGTCACGCTCGCCATCACGTCAGGTCAAGCGCGCGCAGCCTGGTGGCCAAGATGCTGCACAAGTGCGGCCCAAGCGCCCTGTTCTCTGACGACTCTCCGTCTCCAACAGCCCGCGGTAGCGGAAGGGGACCAGCGGCCGGTGCCTTCTCGAGAAGACGGTCGAGCCTTGCCGGTGGCACCGGCGCCTCTTGGAGGGAAGAAAACAGTGGGGGTGGTCTGGGTAGGCCTAGCGACGGCGATCTGACAGACAGCAGCGATGATATCTCTGGGACCGTGGCTAGACGCGCAACAGCAGCGGCAGCCCGAGTGTCTGGTGAAGCAAGCGGGGTAGGACAAGGCGAGGACGGGTTTTCAATCGACGATGACGAGCAGCAGCAGCAGCAGCAGCAGCAGGAGGAGGAGGAGGAGGAGGAGGAGGAGGGGGCGTGTGATATCTTCTTGGAGGCGGTGTCGACGGCAGGGCTGCAGGACGAGCTCTTGTGCAACCGCGATGTCGAGGTGCGAACATGCTGCGAGAGGGAGGGAAACGGGGAGGCCTCACGCTCGTAAAATGTTTCGATCGCACTCCTGGCACTTTTGATATGTGAAAACAACAACAACGACTACAACTGCAACTACTCCTGGCACGCCCTTCGGTGTCCCGCGACTCGCCCCTGTGTACATAGGAGTTCTGTCCGTGTCGGAGTATTGTAGCTCTGTTGTTGCGATCGCAAAGATCTTCTCTGCCGTTGTACAATGATGCTTATGCGAGGCGGTTTGATACTTTGGTGTCATGCCACAATGGTTGGGTGCCTCGAGCAATAACCTCAACACTCCTGGTACACCAAGGGCCGACCCATACGTCGAAGATGACAGTTGGCAAGCGATGTATGCGGTGTGTTGTGTTGAGCTTTCTTGACCGCTTGCCGATTTTGCCCATTGCACACGTCTATCCGCACCCATGAAAGACTCGCCTCCCAACGTTGCACACCTACCTACCTCACAAGTAGCCAATCAAAACGCCGGATTGCAAGCAGCATCTCGGGCTGCTTCCATCTCGGTTGATCGCTCTCCATGGAAACACGCCTCCTTTCATCTATCTCATCCCGAAACAACGCCTCCTTTCATCTCATCCCTGCTCGAACGCAAACCGGCAAGATCAACGCGACCCAGAACCACCCGCCCACCCGCGATTCCTCGGCGCCCCAAACCGCAGGTGCTTGGGGTCGACCCCCCTAGACCCCTCCCCGCCGCCGCCTACGACCTGCAGACCGCGCTCGAATCGGTGCAGCACTTCGCCACGCAGACTTTGGCGGGAGTGGTCCAAGCAGCAGCGGTAAGAGGCTCCGACCTCTACGACAACGACTACGACCCGCTCTCGGGTGCTAGGTCACCCCGCCACCTGGCGGGCGGCGGCAGGGCGGGCAAAGGCTCTGCTGCGAAGGAAGCCAGGGAGGGGGGGGTGGCGGCGGGTTTGGTGGAGGAGTGGGAGGCGGCGTGGCCTCCCCGGGAGCTGACGGCGGCGCTCGGGCTGGTGACGGCGAGGCAGATGGCCCACGCCATGCGCTGCGACACGGAGCCCTTGATTCAGGTACATAGCGGCTACGGTTCGACAAAGACAGAGAGAGATTATTTGAGATGTATTGTACCGTATGGGTTTTAAGAGGGTTAAAAAAGTGGCTTGTCGCGGTCATGAGAAAGACATGGATTACCTTTAATGGTGCGGTTTGAGAGAACACCGGAAAGTTAAGGAGACTGTGTTTTTGTTTTGTCCTGACCCTCTCGTCAAACCGTAGCTGCCGCTACTTGAGTATGGTGGACTCTGAGGTACAGGTTTGGACAAGCACAATACTGTGTGGATTTTGAACAGAGTACGTGTGTGTTTGCTGTTGCTGTTGCTGTCTTCATGGTTGACACTGTTGTGTTCTCTCTCTCTCTCTCTCTGCGGTACCTCCTCCTCCTCCACACTCTTCAAGGTAAGGAAATGCACTCAATCGCCACAGCCTCACTCAAAATTGTGGCTAAATCGTTATAACATACTCCGAAAGAGTGACGCCGCTGGCAAAGGAGAATTATATTGTCAATGACGACGACATCGACTATTAGGGTAACAGTAGCGGCAGGGCAATAATCTCAAAGGGAGGAGAATTAACTTTTTTGCTCGTTCTGGAGAGGCCTTATACACGACCTGAAGCGTTGCTCCAGCCCCTTAAGCTATGTGGTTCAGGTGGGGACGATGCTTCTGAGCTGCCGAGATCGGATGCGAAGTCAGGGGGCTATGCTTTGGCTCCAGCCTCCTCGAGAAGTCTTGACTCTCTCGATCGACACGCTTGCGTCCCTCCGCAACGCCCATCCCATGACGCGGTCACCGTTAGTTCCCTCACCGCCGGAGCAAGTAGACAACGTGTTGCTATTGCTCTCACACGTTCGTACCATCGAGACACTCGTACTGTACATACCATCCAGGCACTATAGTATAACGCCCTTTGAAGTATTGTCTCCCCGCCGTCAATGACCCTTGTGTGTGTGCGTTTTCCCTGGGCCATGTCTACCAGATCTGGATGCGCTGCTTTACCCCCGTCGACGCGAAGCACCGGACCAAGCTCTGGGGCGGGCTCGCCCCTCCTCCCTCCGTCAACGACCGGTTCCTCGAGGCGGGGAGGTGGCACCGGCAGCTCGTGTGCGGCCTCCTCACTCTCTACGCTCAGGTGCGCTACACGCCAGCCGCGCTCTTACCGTGGCCATGCTGCTGCTGCTGCTGCTGCTGCTGCCTCTTTGCCGCCCGTGGGTTTTATTGAGAAATGTGTGTACAGATAAGCAGCCATTATAGCTCCTAGAGTCTGTCTGGGGTGGTTTGCTTTTCGCCCACCAAGGAGTAGCTGTAATCTATGACCTATGATACCGATCGACGTTACAACAGCAGTAGCAAATTAACCAATGTCGCTCGCACAGAGACCTGCAAAGACAAGACTTCAACAACGGATCCCTCCCATCATCTCAAACGAACCGGTAGTCTTTCTTCGTCCTCGCGCCGGTCTTTTCGTCGTAGTCGAATCAGTTGTTAGTGTCTCAATCCATTCAAGCATTTATGACGTGCTGAAAGATACACACCTCCTCCTCGGCGGGGTGGGTACCCACGGTGCTCGCGCCACCCGCGTCGCCCCCCCCCCCCCAGGTGCACATGAGCTGGCCCTTCCTCGCACGGCCGAAAGACGACCCCGATGCTGTAGGCCTCCGGTCTCTCCGACTAGAAACTACCTGGTTCGGAACTCAAGAGGATGTCGGCGGCGGCGGCGGCGGCGGTGGCATAGCCGAGCCCGGCAACGCTGCCGCGGAAGAAGAGTCTCCGATCGGAGCGGGATCGGCGGCGGGTAGCTGGGACGAGGCGGGTGGCGGCGCTGTCGGCAGAGGGCCGTTGCAGTGGGACGAGGAGAAGGCCGTTGGGTTTATCCAGGTCGGTGTTGGATGGGGTTGGTTGACTACCGCGTCACTTCTCGATAGTCGAGGGTTCTGTGTGTTTTTTCACGAAGGAGGAAGCCGTAAGGCGCGGTATGGGTTTGCTCTTGCAATGCGATAGTATGCCGTTTTGTTTTTCGCGAATGACGTAGCTCTTGCAACATGATATTGGTGGCCCCCTAGCCAGGTGTCGAGTGGCGTGAGGGTGTGACTCAAACCAAGCGGGAGGGTAGTGTGACAAAGTTCGTTGCCTGTTTCGTCGGCATACGGGAGCTTTCGATTGGTAAAGCACCGCCAGGCCTCCTGTCGTGCCCTTACTGCTGCTGCGCAAGATTATGGTGCTTACAGCGCCATCACGCGTTATCTCATGCCCTTACCTCTGCTGTGCAGGATTACGGTGCCTACCTCGAAGGTGATGCGGTGGCAGCGGCCGCATCCTGCCGGGAGATGGAATGGGCCTTGGATGAGGTGCTCCGCCTGGCTGAGCAGTGCGAAGACTACAAGTCCAAAGAGAGGTATGCCACGGCTCTTGTTGTAACACGATGCCGCGCCTCGTTAGTGCTTGTTCCGCGCTGCAATAGTTGCCGAGTTACCGCTTCGTTGTTTCTGTGCTTCCTTCCTTCCGTTGCTCGAAAGGCAAAGTGTGAAAGTACCAGGCACAGAGCGAAACACACGGCTTTGTCCGATCGCTGGACAAGAAACAAAACCTCGCAAAACCTCGCGTTCAGCTCACTACTTACTAATAACTTACCTTTCACAAGTCCCTTGACACCTTTCACCACTCGCTGCAAAACACTTGGCGCTCGCTCTCCTCTTTCCCCCTGAATCATTTATTGGTGGCCCCTGAAGGGTTCTGCACCAGCTCCTCCGGGGTCCGCGTACGCCAAGCATGACTACCGTCTCGGGGAGAAGCTCCCCCACGGTGTGGCACCAACGCTCCGCCATGTTCGGCACCACACCGGCGCGCAGCCCAGCCAACAGCATCAGCACCACGGGGACTCGAACCCCGGGCAACTGGACGCCGACCATCATGAGCCCCAGCCGCGCGGCCTTCCCATCGTACCAGCTGCCGAGCGAGGCGATGTCGGCTGGTGGTGGTGGTGGTGGTAGCGGGTGGAAGGACGGAGACGGGTTCGGTGGCACCTTAGATGCGGCGCTATCGTCCGGTCCTATGGAAGAGGACGCCGTTCGCAAGGCGCTGGGACTGCTAGTGCCTCCCGCGGACCCCGCCGGTAACGTCGTCGAAGACGAAAACCACCGCCGTCACGCCAACGCGGAGCACGGACAAGGCGTTGGGTTCTCGGGGCACGAGGCTGGCGGGAGCGGGCGGTTGTTGAGCCAGACGACGAAACAGGCTCCGGGGGGGGCACCGCTGTGCCTTCTCCTGAACAACCTGCGGGAGCTGTTCCGGTGGGACGTGGCGGCAGCGGCGGAGATGTGTGCGGACGCGTTTCCCGGCGTGCGGCCCTGGTGAGGGTGGTTAAGGGGTTGAGGGTGTGGTTTTGTGCTGTTTATCGTTCTTCTTACAGCATTTAGGCCAAGGCCCAATCCTTCCTACTTGTTCATTGGCCACCTGATGACTATGACCCCTCTTAGACGCTCTGTGGCCAAGGTCCGTGAGGTATGTCTTGGGATTGTTTACAAGAACAATCAAAACATGAACGTTCGGAGTCACAACGGCAGCTGCTTTCCAGTTGTTGGTGCGTGTGATTCTCGCACTTCACCCCAGTCTCTCTTTTCCATCCCATCATGGTCTTATCTGCGCTGAAAGTGCAATGAAGAAGGATACAGCCAGATGCGAGTACTGTAGGAAGCTCACGGCCCATCTTTACGCCTGATTCATCTTTCATTTCCCCAAGGAACGTCCACCACGCCTTGCACCGAGACCAAGACAAGCCCTGGACTACCTCCGAGCCGGTAACCCCGGTTGGGGGGGGCACCGCTAGATACCAAGCCCAAGCCCCGCCAGCGGGGGCAGGGGTGGCAGGGGGTGACGGCGACGGCGGCACTCGGACTGATGCCGCCTTCCACGCTTATCTGTGGGCTGTGCTACGGAAGCACCCCGGGGAGTGCCGGGGAGACTGGTGCGTGTGTACACATGGTTCGATTTTTGGTTGCCACGGCTGGTACAGCAGTAGGCTGTAGTTCTTGCCGGTCGAGCGAGAGAGAGATGGACATATGTACCCTGGAGAGTTTTTTTTTTTTTGTGTGTTTGGTTGAGTTACTTGTTTCGGTGTTTTGTGGTTGAGATGCTACTGCCGTCGGGGTGAGGCAGAGGAAATTTCAAGTCAAGTCAAGCCAAGAAGCCTCCACGTACGGCACGAGGGTTTTCGTACGGCGTCGACACTGGTGCCTGGTGTCATTGCAGCGATTCCACGGGGTCTCTCCTTTCTTCCGTACAAAGCAGTTTCGACCCTTTGCAGTCACCCTCCTCTTTCAAAGCAAGATTCGATAGTTTCTAGGAGTGTGCAGGCTCTTTCGCCAGCTGTCGTGGTTCATCTTCACGATACATGATACAGGTACCTCTCAGACGAACTGTTCCCCTCCTCTTACTCCTTCTCCCTGCCACAGACGGCATGTCGACTCTAGAGCTGTACACAGCAACTTGCAGAAAGACTGCGATCCTTGACGCATTATCCTTCCGGCGCTACCCTCCCTGCGCGATGCCTGTCTCCCTCCCTCCCTCTGTCTCTGCCTCTGTCTCTGTCTCGTTCTCTCTCTGTATGTCTCTCTCTGGGCTTCTGTCGCTCTCTCTCTTTCTGTGTGTCTCTCTCACGAGCAGGAAAGTGATCCAGAGATGCCTGCAGCTATCTCTCCGGCTGTCCACAAAGCTACGCTCCCTGCCCTCCGACCACCCTCTACACAGCTTCTGCAAGGCGGCCACCCGAAACTTCAAGCGCCGCCGACGCGCCGATGACCCAGCAACTCGCGAAACCGGAGTTAGACACCCGGAAGGGGCGTTTTCAACAGACGGAAGAGGACAGTTTCACAACAGTCGCAGGTGGCGAGCTGGTGGAGGCAGCGGCGGCGGCAGCGGCATGCGTACGCCAACCGGAGACCTCCGGTTGGGGGTGGAAGATAGCGGCGAGACTGGTGACGGTTCGGCGTGGCGGCGCTACTCGGACGTCGTCGAGGAGTTGGTGTCACAGTGGTGCAAACACGGGGACGCGTTCGGCCTGGATCCGCTGTGGCTTTTGCCGAAGCTGAGAGCGCACAAGAATTGGTGAGATACTTTCTTAAGGTAGCATTTAAGAAGGAGCAGGAATGGGCCAGATGCTTGGCGTATTTCTTTGGGCTGCTTGTTAGTTGAGTTTCTTGTGACTCAACGATGTGATTTTTGCAGGTCGCACCACAAGCCGTGCCCGTTGTTGTGGGCAAGGGAAGTGTCAACGTATCGACGGGTATGCATGCCTGTAAGTACATATGCCACAGAACTCCGTTTCATGAAAAAGCTCCTCTCCTTGTCGAAACAATTTAGTTCTGTCTGGTTTGTCGGTTTGTCGGACATTAATACTTGTTTCTTGGTGCATACACGCCAACAATCCTGGAAGTATTGACTGAAACACCCCCCTTTTTCGTCCCTCGCTCGTCTCGACCCCTGTCACGGCCGTGGTCTCCACCTTGGGCCTTGGCCTTGATGTTGATTAGGCCTGTGGCCTTCCGGATCTGCGGCGCCATTGCTTGCTCTTGGGAAGAACAAGGAGAGAGAGGACACCAAATGAGCACGGGGGTGATATCCCACTGCCACGCCACCGCTGCCGCCGACGGCCTCGAAGAAGGGCACGACTATGACAGCCTCGTTTCCACCCTGCCGGTGTTCGACACCCTTGCGGACGCGTGTTTTGCGACTTTCAACGACGGGGACACGGAGACCTTGGCCGCCGCCCTCGGCACCACTTGGGCCGCGGACGGGGCCCTCCGCAGGGTTTCCCTTCGAGCGAGACCGCCGCCGCTTCGAGGGGATGATGGCGGGGGGGTATCCCCTGGTCAGCAGGCTGTAGCCGCGTCTCTTTCTGTTGAGGAGAGTCAAGTTTTGGGCCAGGTTAGTGCCTACGGCAACGTGGCCGCCGCCGCCGCCGCCGCCGGCCCAGAGTTCGGGCACCAATCCCCAATCGGAATGCAAGGTAGCAGCAGCGCCCGTGCCGGTGCTTGCGCACAAGAAGAGAGCCACGAGGCAAGCGGCGGCGGCGGTGGGTGGGTGGAAGAGTCGAGGATGGTGGACGTCGTTCGAGGCCTGGCGCGGCGGTGCAGCGGGCAGCCGGTCGGAGCAGACGACGCGGGGGGGTCCAACAACGATGGGGGCGACGCGGATGGGCGGGGCGACGCGGATCTGGGGTGCTCGAGCACGGGGGGGGGCGATGCGTCGATGGCATCCGAGGACCCCGAAGGTGGCAGCGGCGGCGGCAGCGGCGGCGGCGGCGGCGGCGCGGCCGGGTCGCTGGGCGCCCTGTCGTTGCTCGAGCTGGCTGAGGCCGTGTTGGATGGTGTGGGCCCTGAGGCGACCGGAGACGTGCTCGCGGCGTGCCCTCACCTGCTGGAAGGCATACCCCCCAAGGTGTGCTAAAATTCAAACAAGTGACGGGAAACATGATGGGCAGCATCCGCTGTGCAGAGCGGGTAGTAACCAAGGTTGCACGCGCGGGAAATGAGTTTGTTGATCCTTTGCCCTCATGTGGAAGGCGGTCTGCTTCCATGCACGTATAAGTTGTACGTTAAAATCGGCTCTACCTGTGCATGAAAACAGAGCGCCTTCCAGATGAGCAGATAAGGTCAAGTATTAACAAAACATTTCCCCCCACGGCCTGCCACGATGCGGTTGATGTACGGTAGTCAAAACGATGTGTCTGCCTGTCGGGGACGCAAACCTCTCGGTGCTTTTCGCCGAGCGACGGTGGCTGCCTTTCTCTCCACCCCCCCTCTAATGCCTCTCTTGCCATCCCGTCCTTTCCTTTTGTCGTTGTTGATGGTGATTTTTTCTTCTGCGCCAGTTTTTCCAAGACCTGGCGGATCGACAGGCAGCCCTGAGCCAGCAGCGAGCCTTGGAGGCTGCGCTGTTGCACCAGGCGACCGCCGCCATCTGGGCTTCTCGTGGCAGGAGGAGAGCAACGGTCACGGGGGCTGGCGACACGGGAGACAGCAGCGATGCGAGCCCGCTCGGCCCAAGGCTAGCGTGGCTGGCGTGCGAGGAGCTCACATCCTTCTTCCAGGACAACGCCAACAGCGCTAGCGCTAGCCCCAACGCCCGTCTTCTTGGCGGCGAACCGGGATCGGCGGGGTCTTCTTGTGCGGGATCCCCGCCGGGACTACAGCACCATCACCGCGCGACCATGGAGGTGTTCGCCGCCGGCATCGGCGGCGACAACCTATCGCGCGTTTTTAACGGTTCCGGCGGGAACGACGACGGGTTATTCCGGTCGCTGCGACGGAAGGAACCGGGGAGCGTCAGCCAGGGTTTGGTGGCGTCGATGGGTGTTAACCTCGACCTTAACCTCGTGCTGCCAGGAAACGCGCACCGCGGCGCCGCCTTCGACCCGGCCTCGCCGTGCGGGTTCTGCGGCCTCGCTCTCTCCGGGGGGGGCGTGGCTTGCGATGGCGGTGGTGAAGAAGGCGAGGGCGAGCTTGTCTTGTGTGCATGCGGCCGGGGCATCCACTCGAGATGCCTGGCGGCGGCGGGGTGGGAGGGCGGCTGGGATAGCGGCCGGTGGTACGAGGCGGGGTCGATGTTAGTGTTTCCGTGTCCACAGTGCGCGTAGAGGTTTAGAGATGCTGAGTTGGAGCGTGTGTGTTTGTGTAACCCCAACACTTTTATTTCATTTGATTGCATTATAGGTATTTTATGCTGGAGGCCTACATGGTACCGGTAACAGAACATAGTTGGTCCGAGGCAGGACGTCGCTACTATTCCACCATTAGTTTTTCGTGAGCTGTGTTGTTTTCCTGGTTTGGAGGAAAGGGTCCGCGGTGGACGTTGCGACTGCCCTTTCTTGTCCCTCGTTGGCTTGCGTTTTCGTGGCGAGTGCTCGTGTGGTGCAGTCAAAGGCTTGTTTTTCGTGCCTGTTCCTCTGTGTGGTGCAGCCAAGTATCTTGGCCAAGGGTATTCACCAAGTACCCTTTACTTGGTCGTGTACCAATATGTTTCGTTTCATGAGGTTGTCCTGTTTTTCGAGGACAGATGGGTCCTAGTGTTGGTGATGTGATGTGCGCCTTTTTCCCTTGGTGTGTGATTGTCTATTCCCGTCTCTGTTTTTGCTTGCCACGGCTGCCGTGTGGTTCTGCGTGACATGCCCTTCTCGCTTGGTTTTGCTACCGGTAATATAGACCGATACACTATATGTCTTGATCGAGTTGTTCACCACGCCGAAGCTTGAGCTTCGCTTCTTTTTTTTGTATACTACCATGTTTCTTTTTTGGTGAAGGGATTTGTTGCAGCTGCCCATGCCTCTTTTCCTTGATCTCCTGGCTATGTTATGCTGTTTTATGAGAGACAGAAAATCGGCAAAAGAAAGACATATCTCCACCTTAGACTCGGAGCACTGGTGTGCATATTTACCTGGTACCATGTTTTTAAGTGATCACTATACAGGTAGTCACGGTTCAATTAATGTTTGCCTTGTCGATCTGTGGGTTGTGTTGTGCGTCTGTGCGCTGGTTTCTTTGGATTTTGTGTTGTTGACTTTAGTGCTCCCGATTCCGTCGTCGTTTCACCCTTTGCAGCTGTTGCTGCTTGATTGCCACGGTAGGTGAAACGATGATCATACCACTTGCGAGACTAAACTGCGCAGTCTTGCAGATTTTTTGCGCGTTTGTGGTGGTGGAATTTTTTTTCTGGGCCCTTTTTTTTCTTTATTTTATGTGATACGATGATCATGTTGGTGTACAAGTAGCGAGCGAACCACTGAAACTCTCGATACACGTACATGAGGGCCGATGAAGAGAAGCCGCTCTCCAGAAACGAGCGTCTTCAGCAAGAACTATGATAGTAAGCGTGGCCTGGGATCGACGTATAGTGCAATGTGCAGTATCGTTTTGTACTTGGTATACAATGTATGGATACCCTGGCGTTGAGGCATTCTTGGGTCTAAAACGCTGCCCTGGTTCGACGATTGTTCTTCCAGCGTACCATCGTTTTACGTGCTTTTGTACCCCTTGGGCTAGCGCGACAACCTTGTCGGTTTGGCAATTTTGTTTAAGTGAAGTCAACAAAAACTTAAGGCTGTTTATTATAAGCCTACGACGGTTCAGTGAGCAGCGCCGCGATGGAAGCGTTGAGTGCCACGTCTTTGGGAGATTTTCCCGCCTTGTTGGCCACTTGCATCGGGGCACCGAGATCCAAAAGCAGCGACACCAGCGAGCCGAAGCCGCTCCGCGCGGCGATGTGCAGCGGAGTATTGTTGTCCTTGTCGCTTCTTCCCACTTCTGACCCCTTCCTGAAAATATTGTTGGGGGAGGTACGGCAATAGGTGGGCGACCGAGATTGAAGTCAGTGGGCAGACAACGAGGATGGTGGGCGGGCGGGGATGTGGGCTTTGTTTAGAGAGAACACCATAATCAAGTGATGGCTTGCGAAAAAAACAGCGGCACTTCACGTCAGTGGCGACTCGAGGTGCACCGGTAACTCTCAACAGACGCACTTGGCGGGCAGCACAGTCAAGCTCAACCCGAAATCCTTCGAGCAATAGAAAGATCAAGAGATCCTCAAGCCAGCTCACCCAAGCTTCCTAGCCTATATACACATCAGCGCTTCCCAGAGGTTTGCAACGACGGCGTGGTGCCTAAACTTGGCGCCGAATATCCTCTGCGAGCTTTACGTTGACTAGATGTTACCGAGCTATGTACACCATTAGTGCCGCTCACTCGATGAGCTTCTTCACGACCGCGTTCTGCCCAAACGCACAGGCCTTGTGTAGCGGCGTGGAGCCCTGCACGTTGGGTACATCCGGCTCCGCCCCGCTGCTGATCAGACGTATGATGATGTTCAACACGCCTCGGGCGGCCGCGTAGTGGAGACCGGTGTTGCCTGACCAAGCAGGACACAGAGAGACGTGCAGGAAGGATAGGTCGTACTTGATACGGATTCCATGGGCGTGGCAGCATCACAAGTATGCTGCAACAACATGCCGCCTTGCGAAGAAACCCAGTCAGTTGTACCAACTACGGGGTAGGAAGTATTTATTAATTCCCAAGCTTCGTCGAAGCGACCCGCCACATCGTTGTCGCTCTCACCATACTCGTCGGCGCCGTTGGCATCTGCACCCCGATCCAAGAGGAGAGTAATACAGCCCTCGTGGGAACAGCTGCAGGCGTGGTGAAGAGCCCTCATGCCGGCGTAACCGAACGACTCCATGTCGGCCCCTTTATCCAGCAGGTAGGTGGCCACCTCTTCGTGCCCGCTCCTTCACAGCATGGTGCGTGTTACAGTTGTAGAGGTTGATTTTTTTGCAGCATGGCGTATCGAGCATAGGACAAGCGTTGGGTAGGTTCGTAGCAGAATTAGGCACATCGAAAGCAGTGCGCTGATTTCTCTACTATCGTTAAAGTTCCACTAACCGCCGAACAAATCGAGAGAGAGCCTTTTTTTCTTTTCGCGCGCCAGGTTTGCCACACACCCGAAGTTTGTCATGAAGGTGTGCCTATTTGTGCCCGAAGAGATTTCGGGAAACCGTTTGGTCGTTAACGACGGTTCCGACAGGAGAGATAGGCTTGGCAGTATATATCATCCAGTCCTCCTGCTGGCACGGCTTCATAAGAAGAGTTAGTGGGGATAGACTCTCTAGACATCAAGATCAATCCTTACACCGATACGTATAGCAACGTCGTTCTTCTCTTCGGCATGGACGCTGACCTTCCAATTCGAGTGAAAAAGCTCCTTTCAATTCTCGGAGGAATATTGCCGAGATGTACTCGGTTGTCAAGGGATGGGGATGCGAATACGTTAGGACTGTGTGCGTCATTGAGCGAGAGGGTAGACGCCCATGCAAACCTACGTTGACACATGACAATGCGAACCTACGTTCGGACGCCCAATAAAGCACCAGGTCTGTCATTACCTCGTGTTTGTCCATACACTAGCAATAGGCGCAGTTGCTTAAAGTGTCTGAGATTTCGTACCGCCGTTTGGCTCTCCAACAATGTTCGACTTAAGTGTCGCTCTTCATCAGTTCGCGGCTACAGTTTCTTCCCCAAGTCGACGCGACCATATTTTAGGCAAGCGTCGACAGAGTGTACCGGTGAGCGTGATCGAGTTTGCTTCATGCAGTACATCACGGATCAAACGACTTGGGTGCCTTTGAACGTAGTGTTCAGTTGCACGTGGGGCAGGCTTGAACACCAACCAGATGTACGAGAATCCAAGTCACTCAGCATGTATTTACGGATAGCGAGCGAGCGTAGCAGGCGTCTCGCCTTCAGCATGGTTGCGCACGGATAAACAAGATACAAGACAATAACTTCAAAGCACCCGACGGTAATGCACGCGTCTTCTAGTCCTTCCCGTCCCACGTGGTGGTGCAGATCCATCGGTCTATGCTTGACTACTCCTACATCTAGATCGTGTTTCATTCTCCATCTGCTTTGGATGTAGCACCTTATGGCCCAGATGATTGGTGGCATCCCTCGATCGTCCTTGGCGTTGACATCAATCCCGCCCTCCTCTACTAGCTTTTTCAGGAGATCAATTACCCCGAAACTCGCCAATCGCCACGGATCGCTGTCGATGTTCGCGGCCTGTCCTCCACGTGAACGGTCGCCAGGAGGAGGAAAACTTGTCAAGCAATCAAGAAAGATTCCGAATGCTGTAACCATTTAGATTCAGCTCGAATACAGTAGGCGCCCGCTGAACCTGGTAGTTAGTAGTTAAGAAATGCAGCCTCGAAAAATTCAAAACCCGAGCATTTGGCCGAAAAAAAAATTGCTCACATCCCATGTGGTAAAGCAACAAGAACCCGCATTTATTGGTGGTGTGCCAATTCGCGTACAGGTAACAAGAACAGAGCCAAAACGCGGAGACTGCAAGTCAAGAGACAAGAGCGCACTTAGGGGGGCGATGAACAGTGACGGACCCCACTGGCACTTCAGATCTGCGGCGGGGGCGGGGGGGAGTGTACTCATGTAAACGCATGCCGTAGATGTTAGACCATTGACCTCGTATCCCTACAATGTCGGGACGGAGCGATATGCCGGCGTTTCCCGGGCCCAGGCTAACATTACTATTCACAGGTATAAACCAGATTGTGGTCATCATCCTAGCGTTTGTTTTGCAAAAACAGATATATACCTTTTACCATGGGGTTAATTGGGGATCCCACATAACCAAAAGTTTTTTGGGAGGCGGGGCGGGTGTATTCGTGCGTGGGGGGGGGGGGAACCTCCGGAAACATTACTGGTGGGGGGTAGGTCCGAGCTTGTGCACGACGTACCCTTCGTCGCGTGGCATTGAGTGTGGAGCGTGCCACGCTGTGTGCATGGTGTGCGCATACTGGGAACAATGTATTTATGCCTTGAGACACCGCAGGAGCTCGGCCAACTGTCAAGGTCAAAAGGAAGAGGCGCTTTCTGATCGACATTTCGAGGCCATGAAAGAAAGAACATACATGTTATGGCTGGCGGGAACTGCCTCACGAAAGCACACCGGGAGGCCATCGAGTTGATTGACGTGGGGGGTAGAAACCAAACTTGGGGTCTTCTCGCAAGAGAGCGGACCAGATTGATAGGGCAACTCCGGGGTATCATCAGCAGTGCTCGCCCTTTTGCTGCCATCACAGCAAGCTGCTGGCGCACGAGGTGAACCGTCTAGGGTCGTGGGTTTTGCTTGAGGGGAGCACCGTAGAGCAGGTCCTGCCATTCGTTGCAGAAAAGGGGGAGGCCCGGCCATCAAAATAGCGTAGCTACCACGGGGAGGACAACGTGACCCTCGTGGACCTAAAAACGGTTAAAAGGTTGCTCATGATGCATCTCTCAAGGCGATGCCGTGTCTGTATTTCTACCCTTTGGTGATCACGGAAGCTGCGGTTCGTTGGATCCAGAGGTCTTGTTGAACGACGTTTTTCGCTGAATACGCAACTCTCTGAAGTCAGCCAGAAGAACAACCCGGTGTCTTCTGCATGGGGGCCTCGGCGAAGAAACAAGAGGAACAAGAAAAATCCCGCTATCACAAGCAGATGCATGCTCGAAGTAAGAACTTTAAATAAGAACAGGTGCTCGGTTTGAGGCAGTCAACAAGCATCGAACCTCACGAAAAAATTAGCGGCTCTCCAGGTGCGGGCGCCTATTGTACAGTGACGACCCGCCCTTAACAACTTCCGAGGGTGCCAGAGCGTGGAAGCCACTGTCCGGCAACCGCGCCTACTGTTTGCGGGAGTATTGGCAGCCAGACGGGACACTCCCGAAACGGACGATGCTTGGCGAGCTGGTGGGGGGGGAAGGGTCCAGGCGGGGGGGAACCTGAACAAAACTGGCAGATGTGCCTGAATGACGACTTAAAGGCGTTCGAGGCAACGCACGGATTTACGGACGCCGAGCCGTCCATCCATGTGTTTTCGGAGTCCCTCAATCAACTTGTACGCAAGAAGTGAAGGTGAACCGGGGACTACCATGGTATACGGGGGTACTGCGAGGAGCTCAGAGGTTCTTGACCTCCTGGCACACGGGTGAAGAGGAGGCTAGCCGAGAACGACCGCTCGAACGAGACAACGAGCCAA